TTACCGGTAAACTGCCCCTCACCGTGTTTATTTACTGGAGTGACCCCTCCAGGGGCGGGTGTGGATAGAAGAAGCCAAGGGGTGCCCAAGCAGCTGGCCTTGTGAGACTGAGCTTCGTCTGGCCTCTATCCATTGACCTTTCAGGCATGATTGGATCTACGGCTGTGAAAAGCCATCCTGTGTAGCTCGCAGGGTCATGGAGGCACACAAGCCATCACACCGCGTCAGGTGCAGTCTCGTCGTGATGGATGAATTAGTGTGAAATCTCGCTGAAACCATGACTGGTTTGAATCTAATCACATGCTGCCAGTTTAAATTTTGGAGCACTTAACAAAAAGCTTAAGACTGGAAATCAAATACCAGGGGAGAATTAACAATGTTAAATTGAATCCCCTCTTGTCTTATCGGCATCCACGCTCAAACAAAAGCTCGTACCTAGGCAAACTTTATTATTCGTTTGCCGAAATAAGTCCAAATGTTGCAGTCAGAACAAACAGTAAAGAACTATGATTTCGGTGAGTTCGTTATCGATCTGTTATATCTACATTTAAGAGATACACTATCTGATGTAATGTTACGTGTAAATACACCATCAGTAATCCAACTGGCTTCAGGTCTACAGATCACATTTTGATTGTCTCATAACCACGAAATCCTGGAAAATATAAGAACCCTACATGGAAAACATACAGTTCAGTGAACAGGCTGGTTACATTTTCAAGTATGAATTTCACTTGAAAACGAAACTGTAGAAAACATTCATTGGCTCTATAATTTTCAAGTGCTGTTCATTTTATGGTTTAAAAAAAGTGCACGATTGCGATCCGTCCCGTAATTGACACCATTTCATTCCAACGTCCAAAACCTTAGATGGAAATCGGTCAGATGCGGCAAAGTCAAATGTTTCTGGTAGCTGTCAAGGAACAAGAGCTTCAACCCAAAAACGAAGCAGTAAAAACAGACCAAATATATCACAGTCGTTTTCCGACAAATTATTATCTGTGCAATACGCAAATATCTGGTGGCAAGTCAAGTACACACTGAGTCGGAATTTAGCCCAGGATCCTCAGACAGATCAATATCACCGATGCTGGCGAACAGATTCTCATCAATCTCCATTACCTCACCAGCCTCCGCTAGGAATTTGATATCAGAATCGTCGTAGCGATTATCTCGCAAGAACAATTCACGACCGGTAAGACGATTTGAGCTTGCATCTTCGGTTACTTTGTTCTTTTCACGAGCCGCTGACATTTCCGCGAGAAATTTAGTATTCCATTGTAGAAATGATTCGACTGTTACTCTGTCACCCTTGAATTTGGCCTCCTCTTCAATCTCCTTCAGACGCTGTTTCTCCTTTAAGGCTCTTGCATGTTTAGCTATTCTTTCTTCTCCCAAGGAATTTAGTTTCTCTTGAACTTCAGAGAGAATATCGAAAATCATAATGTATCCTAAAGAACGCTGGGATACGGTGCTGACAATTTCCTCGATAGCCGCAACCTCCTCTCCTGTCAAAGATTTAGCTTTGATGACCTGGAACAATGGTGGTTCTTGTGGATAGGATTCCGTATATTCGAAAGATAAGGTGCATTCTACATCAACCTTATGCTCGTCACCCGCATGGCCAGACAAACGGACTTCAAATTTCTGCAACCCATCATTCCGAATGATGCGAAAATTCTGTTCGTAAATAGATTCCAAAGTAAGCAGCTCTGACTCACGATCCTCTGCGGATTCAGTCATCACCTAAAAGTAAATAACGCAACATTTGAGTAAATTACATCAAATCCATTACAATTACAAGCAAACTTGTAAAATCATATATATATATATATATATATATCGCCAAAATATACATAAGTTGAAAGATGAAGAGAAGCAGAACAAGAGAGAAAACAGTCGATCGTGCGGATGACAACTTTTTTGCTTGTTCACTGCACGCAATTTCTACTTTTTGTTTGTTGGTTTTATTCTTGGGATTAGATACAGGAAAGGGTATGAAGCCACATCCCGCAGTGTCTTCAGCCCACGAGAATCTGAATCTTCAGGGCCCCTGCCGGGAAGCCAGACGCGGGCACAATCCCTTTAACTCTTTACTTCGCGTCATAGCCTGCCTACCTCCCTGTTGCTTCCAGCCCAGACACATGTCTGTGAATACCGCACGGTATAACAGACGTTCGGGCATTCGTAGGACGAGCCCGAGCCACCTCACACAATGAAGTGAAACAGTTTTGCTCAGTGGAAGACAATCTAACCCTAACAAACGCCTTACCCCACCATACGCGGGCGTTGTTGCGCAGACAACGGTGGTCGTTGAACATGATCTGCTCAGAGGTCAGTTTCGCAACCGTAGAACAATACGCTGCATACCGTTGCGAAATACACGCCCTTTCATTGAAAAGAATGTTTCGCCGGAGCAAGAGATGCGGCAGATCAGCAAACGACAATCTAGCTTTAATTGAGCGTGATGAGACATCCTCGAATGCGGTTATGAAACTCATAATTATAATTGTACAGTGAAGCGAACTTCACTTATCGTTGCCAAATTCATAATGCATACAAGCTTAGTGAGAATGTGTAAGAAGCATATGGATTGGGCCTATGTTTAGGGAGGGTAAAAGAAAGCTATTCTCTATGGTCAACACCCAGAGTGCATAGTCCAACTGCACACAGTATTTCAAGCATTCCGGTCGGATAAAAAGTGACAGTAAGATCGCCACTGTTGCCATGGTCTGAGTGTCGTCAACCATGCGGTTACGGAGTCTTTTGGACCCCCAGCGGTAAGATGAGAGACACCTACTCAACCTAATCGCTCTGTGCATTTCTTCTTATCTCGTCTCCGCGTGATCTGTTGGACACCACATAGCTTTCTCACGTCCGTATGTCCGACGGTCGCATTCTGCAGCGCGCCTTATTTACAGTGGCTATTGTAGGCTGGAGGTTGATGCAGTGTCCACTGCAAATAACGCGCGTTTACGTAGGCGACCGCTTCATTTATGCAAAAACATGTCCTATTCAGCTCCATCCGATGCGATAACGAGTTCTTGTTCGACGCATTCCCAAACACTCGACGGCTTAATTCTAGGTTACTAACTCACTCATTCCATCCCACTTGGGCCAGAATAAGTAAGCATCGATTGTCGAAAACCATAAGCCGATGGATGTCTTCTACCCACAAATTCAAGGTCTCGCAACCATGAAGCAGAACTGATCACACACTGGCGCAGTATACGCGACTTTTCAACTTCAATCAAACATCACGTCGTCGCCACAGGTGTTTCAGTGGTGCATACACCGCTCGAGCCTTCGAAAGGCGGGCGGCTATCACCTTCGATGCGGTACCGTAGTTAGTCACGCAGCTATCTAAGTATGAGCAGTCAACTTTAGCTAATTCCTGAACGTCCAGTTTCAGAACAGAACACGGTGATACGCAGACTTGTAGCATCACTTTGCATTTAGAAGGTGTAAAGCGCAGGCCGAACGGAGCGATAAAATTGTTAATCTAACAAGTGAGCTTAATGCATCCCCCATACATTGGAACAGGCAAAATGTCGTCAGCGTATTCTAAATTGCACAGCTTTTCTCCAGTTGTTCCTTATTACGATAATTTTGGAGACCATTCAGTGCGTTCTCCGGTATCTTGTCTATGATGTAATTAAACGGGGTGAGATGAGGTAGACGACTCCTGGGCATTCGGAACACGTGCGCTAATCAGGGAAGCCTCTTCATCTGAATTCTAAGTGACAACGAATTTTCTATCGAAACATTACCAAATACGCGACGCCTCACCTCAGAGTTGCTTACAAGCTCGCTCCATCCAACCCGCGCCAAAGTATGTAAACATGCAGTGGAATACTTCTAGACAACAAATATCTTCCACGCGCAAACTTAGGGTCTCGCAACCATAGAGCAGAACTGATCTCACACTGGCGCAGTATACGCGACCTTTATGTTTCAACGAAACATCGCGTCTGCTCCAACGATGTCTCAATCCTGCGTATGCTGCTGCAGTCTTGGTACTGGGGGCGGTTACTTTATTGACTATCTCACCGTCATTCGTCACGCCGCTGCGCACGTAGGAGAAACATTCCACCACAGTTAATTCCCGACCATCAAGCATCAGCGCTAGGGTAGACCATGCCCAGGCTTGCAGCATCACTTTGCACTTCACAGGTGCAAAGTGCATGCCGAACGGAGCTACAGAACGACTTGATCGATGGGCAGAGTATTTTAGTGAACAATTCAGTTGGCCTAGTGCTAATACGGTCATTCCAGCAATTGCGGCGGAAAACCCATGAGTGGTAACGTGTGCCCCAAGGAAACCGGAAGTACAAAACTGCATTCAATCATTAAAGAAAGGAAAGGCTGCGGGACCTGATGGGCTTCTCCCTACTATTTTTAAGGTGAGCGGTGATTCTGTTGATGATTCAATTACTAGCTTACTTCGTAGCACTTGGACGGAGGAACGTATCCCTCTGTCCTGGGGTGAATCGTTGATCTTCCCGATCTTCAAGAAGGGATCACGCAACGACAGAGCTAACTACCGTGGGATTAGTTTAGTTCCGATAATCACAAAAGTATTGACTTCTGTGACAATTCACCGCTTGACACCCATAAGAGAGAGGAATACCCGCGAACAACAAGCCGGATTCCGATCAGGTCGCGGTTGCATCGACCAAATCTTCACTCTGCGTCAAGTCCGCGAACTGCGTCACACACATCGTCGGCTAACAATCGCAGTGATCCTTCACCTAAAA